AGGAAAGAAGAGATAGTAGGAAAAGAGAAAGGGAGGTTTGTGAGAGGGAGAAAAAAGAGAGGTTTGAGAGAAAAAAAGAGAGATAAAGTGACTAAGAAAGAAAGATTGAGAGAATGAGGGATATAGAAGGGAGAGCTACAATGAACAAAGAGAGGGAGAGAGAGAGAGAGAGTTAAAGTGAGGAAGAGAGAGGCAGATACAAACGAATGGGTAAAGATAGGAAGCAAGAAAGAGAGATTTAAAGAAAGGGTTGGAGGGGAAGAAAGAGAAGAACGATTAAAGATAATTCTTGAGAGGTTTTGGAGGTGTGCATGGAGTTAGAGTGGGGTAGGGATAAAAAAATAGAGAAAAAGGGAGTGGGGAGAGAGATAGAGCAAAAAGTGAAATTGATAGAGAGCAAGTGACAATTAAGAAGAAGAGGACGGAGTGCGAGAGAGAGGTCAAAAGATAGAGAGAATGAGAGTACAAGAGAGATAGAAAAATAGGGAGACAAAGATCGAGATGGAGAAGGTCCTATCTCGCTCTATTTTCTCTTTATATCTCTCACTCCTACTCTCTCTATCTCCTCTTTCTCTCTCACTTGATCTCTCAATATCTTACTCTCTCTATAGCTCTCTCCCTTCTATTCCTCTCGCTCTAACTTACTCATGGTCTCTCTCTCTCCCTCCTTCCCACGAGAGGGGGGAGAGAGAGACAGAGTGAGAAAAGAGAGAGCAAGAGATAGTGATAAAGAATAGAGAGAGAAAAAGCAAAAGAGAAGGTTGAGGAGAAAAGATGTAGAAAATGAAAGAGATAAAATAGAAGTAAGAGCAAAAAAGGAGAAGATAAAGGATAGAGAGTATGAGAATAGGAGAGGAGCCATAAGAGGGGGAGATAATTATAGAGAGAGAAAAAGAAGAGAGAGAATGAGTGAGGGAGCAAAAGAGAGGAAAGGCATGGAAGAGAGAGGGAGGGTGAGTGAGATAAATAGAGCGAGAGAGAGAGAATGTGCGAGAGTGAGAGTGAGGGAGGGAGAAAGTGAAGGAGGGTGGGAGGGTAAGTGAGAAAGTGTGAGAGAAGATATAAACAGTAAGAAGAGAGTGAGTTTGAGAAGAAAGAGATCAAGAGAGAGAAAGAGATGGAGAGAGAGAATTTATAGAGAAAGGAAAGTTAGAGAAAGGAAAGTTAGAGAGATGGAGAGAGAGCAAAGAGATAGAGAACCATTTTTCTTTTTTTGTAAATAAAGAAAAATAGCAAGAAAGAGAATAGAGAAAAAAAAAAAAAAAAAAATAGTAAAAGAGGGGGAGTAAGAGGGAAGAGAGAGGGATGGAGTGAGAGGAAGACAAGAATGGAGGGAGAAAGAGCAAAAAAAATAGATATATCAAAAAATATTGTGACAAAGATGTATAGAGAGATCATGGGATAGAGAGAAGTATGAGAGAGTGGAAGAGAGATTAGGAGAAGAATAGGGAGAGGGAGGGTGGGAGGGAAGGAGGGATAGAAAGAGGCAAAGAGAGAAGGAGATAGAGAGGAAGTGAGCAAGAGTGAGATAGTGATGTGAGAGGGGGAATGACAGAGAAAGAATGGGAGAAAAAGAGAGGAAGAAAGACAGAGGGATCGAGAGAGAGAGTATAAATAATGAGAGACATTAGGGAGTGAGAGAAAGATAGGAAGAGTAAGAGAGATATAAGGAAAGACAAAGAGAGAAAGAAATAGAGGGAGGGAGAGGGCGTGTGTGTGTGAGAGAGAGAGATGTAGAAAGAGGAAAGAGAGCAAGCAAGAGGGTGGGAGAGAAAGAAATAGAAAGGGGTGTGAAAAAGTGAGAGAGAGAAAGTGCAAGAGAGATAACGTGGAAGAGAGAGAGGGAGAGAGAGGGAGAGGAAAAGAGAGAAAGATTGAGAATGCAAAGGAGAGAAAGTGAGAGTGATGGATATATAAATAGACAAAGGATAGAGAGAAAGAGAAAATGATTATGAGGTACAGAAAGTGAGAGACAGTAAGGAGGGAGAGAAAGATATATAAGTATACAAAGAGGGAGAAAGAGGGAGAAAGAGAGAAAGTGAGAGGGGGTGGAAGGGGGGAGAGAGAAATAGATAGAGAGAAAGAGAGAAAAAAAAGAAGAGAGCAAGAGAAGAGAGGAAAGAGGGAGAAAGAATGAGAGATGAAGACAAGATGGAAGGAGAGATGGAAGGCATGAGTGAGAAGAAGGGGAAATAAGAGGGAGGGAGAGTGACAGAGGCAGACAGAGAGAGTTGAAAGGTAGAGAGGGAGATAGAGAGGGAGATAGTGGGAGACGGAGGGGGAGAGATGAAATGGACTCATTTCTCTCCCTCCATCTATCTCTTGACAACAATCTTCAATTCTCTCTATCTCCCTTTTTTTAATTCCTCTCCAACTCTCTCTACCTCTCTCTCACTCTCTTAATCACTCTCTCTCACTCTCTCTATCTCCCTCAGTCGTACTCTCTCTTCCTCACTCGGTCTTTATCTCTCTTTCTCGCACTCTCTCTCCCTCCTAATATTTTTTTCTCTCCTCATTCAAACCATCACACACTATCTTTCTACCTCCTTTTACCACCCACTTTCTCTTCCTCTGTACTTCCATCTCTCTTCCATTCCATACCTCCTTTCCTCTCTCTATTTTCCTATCCCTCCCTTTTATTGCTCTCTTCTTTCTCTCCTTCTCTTCTCTCTCTTCTCTTTCTTTCTCTCACTC